AGTTAAAGCATTTTGTATTCTCATCAGCTACTGCTTTGCCATATTTCTTTCCTTCTTCTGGCTTTCACTCGTGTTTCTTCTCAAACCTTCTCTCTTCGTATTTCTTCTTCTCTCCGAATTTGTCTTTATAATCATACTTTGATCCGGATGAGAATCGTTGATTGTTTGAGTGTGGCCGTTTGACAAACTTGTACTTCTTGAAAGCTTTGGTCAGCATGGCCATAGCTTGTTTTACTTCAGAATCAGAATCTGAGCTRTCACTATCTTCTTCCTCAGTGTCACTTGATGAACTAACTTCTACAATCTTTTTCCCAGATTTGCCTTTATACTTCTTTTCCTTCTTCTCADTAACAAGAGCTAAAGGATCAGATATTTCTTTTTCCTTCTTCTTTGATTTGCGGATCTCTAAAACATCTTGTTCATTCTGCTTCAGAATTTCATAAATTTCATGTATGTCAATATCAGATAGCTGTTTGTTGTATCTAATATTATTAGCAAACATTTTCCACTCTGGTTGGAGATTGTTAAGAAACTTAACATTTATCTCAATTGTGGTTTTAGAGATTCCGTTCTTTTTGAGCTCATTCAGCAACCTGGCAAADCGATTATAGACATCATCAAGGCTTTCTCCTTCCTTAGCCTTGAACTCTTCATATGCAGAAATACAGTTAGTGATCTTCAGTTGAGTCCCAACTTTAGATCCCATCATCATCTTCTCTATTTGAATCCACATGCTGTGACCAGATGACTTGTAGCTATCTATACTTGTGTATATGTCATTGGTCAGTGCTTGCATCATGTATGACTTGCAGAGAACATCAGCATGTGCTTTTTCCTTTTCTTCAGGAGTATATTGTTCTTTACGTTTTGGTACTTTCCGTTCAGGAACTTCCATAATAGGATCAGCTTCTATAGTCATAAAGAATACAGATGGACCTTCATGTAGAGATTGTAAGATCATTTCTCCTTCCTTCAATCTTTCAATGAAATTCAAGAATCTATCTCTCCATTGGTTGTAGTCTCCTCGAAACAATACTGGTGGCTTGGTATCAGTACCAATTGCCATTGCTTCTTTTGAACTCATCTTCGTAGTATGAAAATTTAGGATCTACTGCAGTTCAAAGTTTGAATTTAAAAGATCAGTTTACAAAAAAAAATATTTGATAAAATGTAAACTGTAATATGCACATATTCAACACTTGGAAATAAAGCACAAAAACTGTCCGGATTAGCAATCCGCACAATGTTGTCCGGTTTAGAAGTCCGATCAACACTTTTCAATAAGAGCAAGTTATCCGGATTATGAATCCGGGCAACACACGAACATAAACCGCACACAACTAAAATATGTCCAAGTAT